CCTGTTCTGTGCCATGTGAGAGAATAATCCATCTATTCACATGATTAACTGCATTAAAGGAAGGGCAAACTGCTGCATTATGTTCCTGATGCTTTAAACTGCTGTGTGTTTGCATGACACGATTTCTGCACCAAGTTTACATGACCACTTAAAAGTGCAAAAGAAAACACCTCACTTCAGTACTGTATGTTCCATTGAGTAATAGTACAAAGTCTTATTGACAGAAGATATGCTTTATGTCTTAAAGAAAGCATTAATACACACTTTAGAATGTGAAAGACGCTCCTGAAAAGTAAAAAAAAATAAAATAATTACAAGGCCGTGAAACACAAAAACACAGAAATCTGAGACTGCCGCTAAAGAGCAGAGACATTCAATTCAGCTTTAATGTGATGAAGCAGCTATTGAGGTACAGGAGTCTTATTAATGTCTGTTGGTCTTGCCAAGGTGAGCCAAGACAGGAAAGAGTCTCACAAGAGCAGAAGCCACTAAAAGCCACTAAAGTTGTTTTATTTTCTTTCTATGAGGGACAGGCTCGACTGTGGAGAATAGTTAGTTTCTTTTATACTCTGAGAATGTTCGTCTGTGGGTGTGAGATGAAAAATTGTACCTGAGCTCAAACTATATCTGAGTATATCTTCACTCTAAATAGACATACTGTGTTAATTTCAAGCATGCCAGGGAAAAACTACAGTGAAACGACAGTATAATGCAGTCTAGTTACATGCAAAGGGATTTTATTCCAACTCTTTTTTGTGCCCATTTCACTAAAAGTCTCTTTGCTTTTAAAATAGTTTGTTGTTTATTCTTATAGTCTACAGACATAAACCAACAGGTTTTCTCAGCTTGTCACTACATGATGTAGAAAATATAGTTAAAATGACTAATAAATAGTTAATGCTTAGTGTGTTCACAGATGAGTAGACCGACTCCGTGTGCAGCTTACATTCACACTGGGACTGCACACACATCCACACTCGACACATCTTCTGCATGTGTTGCGTTTAAGTGTTTGCACAATAATTCTACAAGATTTTCACCACCAGGGAGAGAAATACCTGCAGTACTGGCTAATGTAGGGTTAACTCACACCCATACAGAGCTGAGAATCATGTGTGCCAAGCCCAGCTCCTCTTACTTTAGGGCCAAGGCACTGACGTGCACATGGTGAAGCAGTGCATGGATGAAAACTGGTTACTGCTACTGTGACACAAAGCACTAATGTTACACAGCTCAAATTACTCTCCAATTAGAAGAAATTCAACACAAATGTAAAATCATGACCATTTCCAAAAGAGCTTACAGGACATGCATATGCGAAGTATTTGTATAGTGTTGTGTGTTCATTTTGAATACCTGTTATGAAGGGATTGAACTTGTGGTTTGGTACAGTACTGACCAACTCTGGATTTTTGACGGTCCCTGGGTAGTTAGTGAACAGGTATCAGAGTCATGTGACTGACTTGCAGGAACCCTTTGCAGTTTAAACCTCAGCAAACCCCATGAACCGAAAATCATTAAAGCAGTTAATCGTTTTTCAAACACTCAATTTCAGTTAGTGTTTTGAAAAGAGACCTTGGCTTTGCTGCAGTGAAAGACATTTTCAGAGACTCTTAAAGCCAAACCAATCAACGTTGGTTTGAATGTGCCTGCCCCCCACCCCAAGCACACACAGGCACCTTCAGCACTGTTACACTTAACAAGGTCTAACATGCCAGTGTGCTGCCCTCTGTTGGCCATTTGGACTGCTATGCCTCATGTCTCAATCATCAGTCATAAAATGTATTGCCAAGTATGTTAAAATACAAAGAATTTGGCTTCAGCTCAGTGGCCCCGGATGTGCACCAAATAAAACAGAAGAAAAATCAAAACAGAAAAACAGCTAAAAAAACAGGAAGACAGTCTATTTCTGAACATGTACATACGTATATACACGTTTAAAAATGAGCTATTTGGTGTGTACAGTGGTTACATGTGTAAGTTATTGCACTGTGGTGTTTGCTGTAATCTTGTTATACATCTAAACATGGATTGGCTGTTTGAGTCCGGGGTGTGACGGGTCTGCAGAAATCATCTCTTTGGTTGCTGAGCCCCGTGACGTGTGGGTCCGCTGGAGTCTGTTCCTGTCCTGTTTGGTTGCTGAGCCAAACCAAACAGTGATGGAAGAGCTGTATCAGCAGCTCCTGGGGCAGGTTGAACTTCCTGAGCTGGTGCAGAAAGTACATCCTCTGCTGTGCCTTCTTGGTGATGGTGCTGATGTTGGCTGTCCACTTCAAATCCCGAGAGACCGTGGAGCCCTGCAGCTTCCCCTAACACTTCCTCTAACACTTCCAATAAGAAAGACACAAGAAACTAGTGCGATATCTAAATTTAACAGGGAACTGGTGCATCACATTCCAGCACCAGAGGTGACAGTTTTAAATATGCCTTAATTTTCTGTCAGATTCTGCTTTCAATACATATTATTCTCCTTTAGTTAGCAGGTAAAACTCAGAGATTACAGAAGTGCCTGGTGCAAAGTAACCAAGTACATTTACTCAAGTACAGTTCTGTGGTACTCATACTTCACTGGAGTATTTCCTTTTTCTGCTACTTTACATTTCTACTTCACTACATTTTCAGGGGGAAATATACTTTTTACTCCACCACATTTTCCTAACAGGGTTGCCAACCTTCAAGGACTGGCCAGGAGACTCCTGGTATTGATTTAGGATACTTACAGTATACTGAAAAATACTACCTTTAGAGAGAGAATGTCACTTTGCCATGGCGAAGTAGTATCTTGAATTTGGTGACACTATAGCACCTCTTGGAAGACGAGGAAGAAGAAGAATCAGTGATGTGAAAAGAAGAACCAAAATGCAGGATTACACATCCATCCATTATCTATACTGATTGTGCTGACAAGGGTCTTGGGGGTCGGGGTCCACCGTGGACAGGCCACCAGTCTATCACAGGGCTGACATGTAGACAAACAACCACACACACTCCAATGGGCAATTTAAAGTCTCCAGTCAACCTAAGATGCATGTCTTTGGACTGTTGGAGGAAGCCGGAGTACCCAGGGAGAACCAATGCAGGCACAGGGAGAACATGCAGACTCCACACAGAAAGGCCCCGGGGTGGCCCAGGCTCGAACCCAGAACCTTATTGCTGTGAAGCAAGAGAGGTAACCACTGCACCACCATGTCACCCTAGGCTCACACATAATCTATCTTATAATTGTTAGCTTGTATTAGCATGAAAAACTGCTAGGTTAGCAATAAATATTCAGATGGCTGCAGTCTGCAACATGCCACTAAATCTTACACACTGCACCTTTAAACTTTGTTTACATCACTCTTGCCTGTTAAGGATGCACACAGTACAAAACACAGTGAAGCTGGTTTGAATCTAATGTCCTGTCATGGCTTGTTCCTGCCATAAAAATAACAATAATGTTATTTCTCTCACAGCAGATGCAACTTGTACTTGTATGACAACCTGTATGACACTGCAACTACCTGGCAGACACACACACAGATACACACACGTGGTGGCGATCAGCTCTAATGCAAAGTTCTGGTTAAACATTGGCCCAAAGTTTGCCTTCCGCCTTCTGTTGTTTTTACACTAAAGGTCCAGCAATTGTTGCAGGCATTATTGACTTAGTAATTAAAGTATTTTAACGTGGGGATTCTGTAATCATTACATATGCCACCATCTGTCCCTGTGCCGCTGCATGAGCACCTGAAATGGATTTTTCCCCCTGAGTAGATAACATATAAAAACCAATCAAGGAGGGAGGGGGGGAGGGTGGAAGCATGGCCACGTCATGGCCATTCACGTAAAACAGCCTGACTCATGCCAGTATGTACCTGTATAGAGGTTTTATTAAATGTTTAACACTAGCCTGTTTTAACCATTTCTGATATGACACGGATCTTCCTCTGGGAGCCTTTTGGTCACACCATTTATTTTAGTGCGTGTATAAATATACATGTACTGTAAAAATAATTATTAGCTATTGTTTTGTTTGTTTATGCCTCTGTATGTAGTAGACACCCATAATATTTATAGTACATCATGTCTATACTATGTATTTGTTCTTGACACTTTAATTTCCCTGCATGGGACCTTGTTTTAATGTAGTTTATTCCTTATTTTAAATAAAAGGCCCAATTTTATTTCACAGTCATACATTATACTAGAAAAACAAAGCATTGTGAAGTTAGAAATGGGCCCAGGCCTCCATGGTGTGACATTAACAGTTCACTCACACCAGCCATCTCTCACTCCCTCTGTTGGCTTTTGTTACATTATGGTAAACACTTTTATCAGAGTCATATCTCACTCCACTGTGCCACAAAGAAACCAAATAATTACAAATAAAAACCTCCCGACTTTGATCCCCAGCCTTCAGCTGTGCTTCCCGTTCTGTAATGTGCGAGTTCAACCATTAAGGAGTCATGGGTCTTTGAATCAGGGCTGATAAGATCCTATCGGGTTCTATTAGTGAATGAAAGCCAATCTGCCACAGAGGCACACAAAAGGCAAAAACACAAAACAAGCATCTGGCATTAGAGCTGCAGCAGCTAATTTATGTGTGGAGACATATCGAGTGTGACTCAACAGTGCAGTCCCTCTTTTTTGGTCTAAACTAAAATATCTCTGCAGGTATTTAATGGATTGTCATGAAATTTTGTACAGATATTCATGGTCCCATGATGATGAATCCTACTGACTTTGATTATCCTCTTCTTTGTCTAACAACATGTGCATGTTGCAGCACTCTGTATGAACAAACTTGAGTTTAGTCTCACTACCAGCCGACCACCTGATACAGCCTATGCCTGAGAGCAGGTGTGCAGGGTGTGTGATGGTTTTTTTCCACTTGCTGTGCAGTCACTGAACAGCATGTATTTACAATAGAAGAAGAAACGGGAGCCCTCGAGCAACATGTAACTTTGGAACAAAATTATCATTTGACGATAGAAGTGAATATGTTTTATTTTGCGCTTCTCTATCTGAAAAATATTACAGTAGCATGAAACTGTAGCCTCATCATAAAAGCAGTCATTCAATAATGCTGCTTTATATAAGAGCGTCCCGGTGACTTAGCCAAGGCTCATACATACCATATGGTTTGGGACTGAACTTGGCCAAGTGACTTCATCACATCATTCACATGTCATCGTGCTTGTTTTTACCCAGACCATCCAATACTGTTGGTGCATACATACATTCAGGATGCTCTGAAGGAAGCGACAGGACATCCTCCAGCAGAGGTTTGGTGTTTTCAGTGTCACTGTACTCCTCCTGCACCCATGAAGACAGTGTTGATGGGAGGCAGCGAGGACACCAGGTCCTGCACCTGTGACGATGACACCATGCGCTGCTCAGATAACAGCGCTTCCTGCGAGGTGAACGGAGAAGGAACTCCAAACATGCAGGGAGCAGATCCTGACGAGGGGAGGGAGTGATCTGAGGAGGAAATGATTCAATGTTTTTAGACAAAACATGTCACATAGAGCTACTTTGCTGTTTACCTTTCAGGTACAGGGTGTCAACAAATCTACTGATCAGAGTAGTTTTCCATGCATGGACTGTAAACTCACAACTACAGTACACACCTACCAAACAATTCAATTTACAATTCAGACAAAATTGCATTTTAAGTTTTACATTTTTAATCCTCTCCTGTTTTTTCCAATTGTGTTTGCATTTGGTTTGTATACTGTCCTTGTTCATGTTTTATGAAACGATCTGATCTTTGTTGCCAAAGACTGCAGACTGTGTGGCTGAACCACTGACTGTATATACGATGGACAGGCTCCCAGCTCCCAGAAGTGAAGCCACTGCGACCCGATCGCCCCCTGGTGGCCTGTTACAGTATAGGTCATAGGTCCCGCCTCCTCCATGTTAGTGGATGGGACATGAGCCAAACTAAAAACTCAAAACAAAAATCAGATGGATTTTTCCCAGTGGTCACTTCTGTGATTTTTGGTAGATATAATGCTGATCTGTGTACAGGTGGTCATTTTTCTGGTAAGCCTGTGTTTATAAGATATTTGATGATATATAAAGGGGTGTACTTGTTTTTTGAATTACTTGACAGCTTTGATTGGCAGCTTGATGCCGTCACTCCACTTCTGGTCACTACTGCACAGAATCTGCCCACTCTCCCGCCCACAAAGCTGCACGTTTTGCTGCTGACCTGCTCCAGTTTCTGCCTCGGTGAAATAGGTGCCTGTTGTTTTCCTTCCTGGTTCGTCAAGGATGTTGAGCGGATCGTGGACCTCGGAGAACGTTGAAGGAAAAGGCCGCAGACTGCTGACGCTGCTGATGACAGACACGTGTTGGTCCACCAGCGATGTTATCCGCTGGCCGTCCAGGTAACCGCTGTTGCCATAGTAACCTACAACAGGAGGAAAGTTCAGAAATTAGTTCCTGTTTTCCAAGTAATGTTAGTTTAGCTTGTGAATGCAAAACAGTGGCTCCCAACCGGGACATGACTAGTATGGATGGAGCTATTTTCCAGGTTTCGGAGGTTTTCTTACCGCTGTGTCCTATGACCGAGTATGTCTGTCCCTGACACCCACTGCTCATAGGGTTCAGTCCGGTCCCCACAAAGCCAAACTCCTCTGCTGAGTCCAGAATCTGAGCTGCTGTCTGAGCATCCAGCCCCTGTTCAGCCTGAACTGGATCTGGAACTGAACTGTAGCTGGATGTGGGTCGGACTGCAGAACCATAAGGTACCAGAGAGCAGTTAGTGCTGCTGGATGAGTGGTGGACTGATGGAGGAGGAGGATGACTGTAGAACATGTCTTTAGTCAGGTGCTGCTCATTAAAGGAGGGGTACCGTGTGAGGTGGTATGCCAGCGGTGAAGTCTGGGACTGAACTGAACCCAGACACTGACTCTGAGGCCTGAAACACGGAATAAAACATATTTTCAGACAAATCATCTTTTATTAAAACATCTTATATTTAACTGTCAGATGTCTAAAATTTCAATGATCTCAAAAGAAATTATAATAATGCATGGAGGAAGACAAAACAAGGGAAATATACTGTATATGTGTAGATATCTTTTAAGAACTACAGTATTATTTAGAGGTTTAGCCCCTCAAAATAAACTAAATACAACTAATAACAAGTAATCATTGACATTTTCTTAAATGTGTGTGCACACTGTCAGACTCACACATCACATTCATCGTATTACAGATAGATGACACATGTTAAAACTGATTTAATTTCTTGAACAAAATGAAAGTAAGGGCCTAAAATATTATTAAAGTAGTATAACAATGTGTGTGGTGAACTGACCTGAGAGCAGGCTGGTAGTTTGGAGTTGCAGCGCTGCTGGCTGCAGGGAAGTAACTAGAGCTGGTCTGAGGTAAGCAGTGGTACAGGGTCTCCGGGTAGGAAGAGCAGGGGCTGGGCTGAGTCATTGCACTGAGAGAGGTGAGGCAGGAGGAAGAGGATGAGGAGCAGGTGGAGGACGAAGAGGAAGATGTCAGGGGTCTTCCTGCCATGGGCCCCTGATTGATGACAGACCCTCTGTGCACTAACGCCGCTGGAGAGACAGGGGGTGTCATGAGGGGGCCACTGACCTGAGAAAAGTCCATCTGACCACCTGGAATAAACACACAAGGACAGAAAGTACAAAGTAAATAATATTCACATTATAGGGTTCATCAAAGCTGCTCTATAATTTCTTTTTGGCCTAGAGGGTCCAGTGAGACTCAACACAAACTGCCACCATAAGCTGTTCCTAACCGTGATTTGCCCTTCCCATCACATCCTGTTTCCTAGCAACGACGTCAACTATGGATGCCTATTTGCAACAAACTTAAAAAAGCAGCCTCCAGTCTGAAGCTAGCATTAGCTGATTAATGTAAATGTGTCAGTCCAGCAGAATGCTCTGGTTACTGCTGATGTGAAACTGACGTTACACAAAGCTCATATAAATCCTGACCATGCTAGGTGGCAGCTTACATTCACACTGGGACTGCACATACATCCACACTCGACACATCTTCTGCATGTGTTGCGTTTAAGTGTTTGCACAATAATTCTACAAGATTTTCACCACCAGGGAGAGAAATACCTGCAGTACTGGCTAATGTAGGGTTAACTCACACCCATACAGAGCTGAGAATCATGTGTGCCAAGCCCAGCTCCTCTTACTATAGGGCCAGGGCACTGACGTGCACATGGAGACCCTAACCCTAGCTGAGAAGGACCACATCACATCCCATTTTTTATTTAATGCACAAATGTAATAATTCTGTATGAACTATAGGTTAAATGACTATGCGTGATGTGAAAGGTGTTGCTGATTCAGTAGTTACAGACTCCCTGAGAACTAGCACCTGTCTCTGCAGCTCTGCTAATGGAGCTTCAGCAGCATCTGTCAGCTGGTTTGATTTCATAGCTCACACCTTAGCAAAATGGTACATAACAAAAATTATAATTCTTCTTATTTTCCTGTACCTGGAACTGTGAACCCAGATGAATCGGTCCCCTGGTGAACGACCGTGCTCGTTTCCAGGTTTTGCTGCTGATTGGTGGACAGACACATGTAGGTGTGTTCTCCCAGAGATTCATTCTTCACTGACTGATCAGATGCAGCAGTGGCCTTGTTACGACTGGCAAGGAAGCAGGAACTGGGCGAGGCCATGAAAGCTGCTTTACTGGCATCTAAGAGGGACAGAGGAACAGCGCGTCATCAGTGACAACATCATAAGTCAGTAAACCAGGGACTGTTAAAGCCAGTTGACCAGTTTCCATTTTTCCTAACAGACCAATTGTTCAATATCTTGTAGCACAAATACAGTCATTTTAACATTCTTACTCATATTCCTCAATATGAAAGACTTTCCATTTGTAACAATTACTGACATCCTAGAAAGTTGGAAACAATGTCCATGTCAGTGTTTTGCTGCCATATTCAGCTTCCTGGGTGTTGGTGGAAGTGCCTCTTCGGTTGCCAGTTACCTGCATTTTTCATGTATTTCTCCAGCAGGTTCTGCAGATCCTGCTCCTTGTCATTGTTAAATTGAGTCTCCAGAGCCAACAGGATGTATTCATCTAACAGCATCCGGATCAGATGGAAGGAACCTGCCCAGGCCAAAACACAAATGGGAGAAAGGCCGTCAGCGAAGATCTGGACCTTGAAGTGTGCGGCCAGACTTGTTTCACATATAAACATGTGTAAAAGCTTGACTCTGTGATTTCAGCTGAACTCTCACCTCTGTACTGTTTGACTTGTAGGATCAAGCTGCTCTTTGTTTGACCTGCGGGGTCACAGGTTTAAAACTGACTGTATACGCTTGAGCTTCAGTGAGACTTCACAGAGAGGGACCCACCAAATGGTCAGTGTTTATTCACATACAAGTCGTCTGTGTGCATGTGTTTGAACAAAGAGCACGCGACCCACAGATAAGACTGTTTAATCAAGGTGACTCTGGCCATTACAATTTAAAGCACTATTGTAGCAATCTGCTCTGAGCTGGCTTGTATTAGCTCTGTGTGTGTGTGTGTGTGTGTGTGTGTGTGTGTGTGTGTGTGTGTGTGTGTGTGTGTGTGTGTGTGTGTGTGTGTGTGTGTGTGTGTGTGTGTGGTCGACACATCCTGTGAACTGAATCATGGAGAAAAACAAAGTGTAAAATTAATTAGCTAAGCGTCGAGGACAAATAATCACCATATTGTCATTATGTTCAGCATGCAGCTGTTATAAATTAGGATATAATCTTGCCTGAATAACTGTAATACTGACCACATTTCCCATAAACCCTGATCCTTTAAAAACTGGCATCTTTATTCTTTCTTCTATTTGTAAAATGAACAGCCCAAAACCAAGCTACACTCAATTTAAAGTGATATTAAACAGAGAAAAACTAAGAACCCTCATATCTGAAAACCTGAATTTAACAATTTCTCAATTATCAAATAGGTGTTGACTAACTGATTTTAGCTTTAGAGCAGGGAATGGGTTGAGTCTGTCTGCACGTCATTTAGAAAGTCTCATGTGTGAAGACGTTCCTACCAAAGCTAGAGGCGTTGCTGAGTGTGAGGCTGTGCATCACTCTGGCCCCGAAGAAACTCCACCTGAGCAGGAAGTCCTGAGCTCGCTTCTTCACTGTACGACCACTCTGCTTGCCGGGCTTAGCAGAGACAACGACAGAAAAGAAAACTGTGCTTGGCTGCACAACAGGACATTTGCAAGACCATACACATGGGTAAACAGTGTCACCTGTTACCTTGATGACTTTATGCTCCATGATGGAGTCCAACCACTCGATGAAGGATTCTACAGTGGCGTTTTTTCTCAGCAGCTCCTTCAGCTCCTGAAAAACAGTGATGGAGTCATCTAGAAAAAAGACAGAAAAAGAGCTTTATTGTTACTACAAGAGATTCTCCTTTGCACTAGCAACAAAAACAGCTGATGGTTGGTTCTTAAATTCTGTAAAATACTAGAATTAGAATCACAGCTGTAAACATCCACCAACCAGCCAGGTTGCAGTTCATGTCCCTGTTTGTCCAGACCCACACAATTTATGTAGTGAAGACATTGAAGGAATTTAATAAACGATATTAGCATGCTAACAATAATGGGACGGATGTGAAGCCACAGTGACTTTGAACTTTGACCTTTGACCACCAAAATCTATGTTATCTCAGTTATCCTAGAGTCCAACAGCCATTTGTGCTGAATTTGAAAAAAACTTCTTTGAGGCGTTCCTGAGACGAACAACCCACACAAATGATGTCTCCGGCCACGGGTGTTGCCAGCAGAGGTGGAAGGCTACTAAGTATATCTACTCAAGTACGGTACAATTTCAAGGTATCTGTACTTTACTTAAATATTTCTATTTTTTACTTCTTCATATTTAAACTTCACTACATTTTAGAGGCAAATATTGTACTTTGTATTTCTCTACATTTATTTGATAACTTTAGTTACTAGTTACTTTTCAAAATAAGACTAATAATGCTAATACTTTTGTATTTCTACTTAAGTAACATTTTGAATGCAGGACTTTTCCTTGTAATAGAGTATTTTTACACTGCGATATTGCTGCTTTTATTTAAGTAAAAGATCTGAGTACTTCCTCAGTTATAATGATTTTAGCATTCTTTTCTGATGACAAATGTAAACATGAAAGTATTTTATTTCCATCATGGTGATGTGAGAAATAAAGCAATGAACAGTCGGTAGCTGTCTTACACTCAGAGTAGATGTCTGGGTCCTGCTCCCCAGTGGCGTTTATGCTAAGCAGAGGCTGCGGGCTGATGCTGCTGAGATCCACGTTCTCAATATCCAGGATCATGCTGGTCACTATGGCCTGGTCAAACAGTGCCGGACGTGCTATCTACAGCCATGGGAGAAAGGAAGAGGAAAGAGGTGGCGAGAGGGAAGGATACAGGAGGAGAGTTTAGTCAAATGAGTACAATATAATCCAAGTACTCTAGTCTGTTCTGCAGTAAAAGCTGTACCTGTGCCAGGTGTAAGAATGAGGTCTGTCTTTTCAGGGAGGAAACAAAGCGGCGTGCAATCGGGAGTTTCTTGGCTGCAAGGCATTCTGGGAGGTTCTCCAGGGAGGAGACAAGCCAGTGCTCCCAGTGTTTGGCAAAGTTGCGGATATCTGCCAGCAGACTGATGAAACAGCATTCGCACAGATCAGACGTCTTCTAGGATCATATCACTGTTGTTGCAAATAACTACTTCATTAAAGTAGTTATATTTCATTAAAAACCTCAGACTGTCTCATTTTGTATCACATGATCGTCACAGCTAATCTGACAATGACACACGGAGTGAACATGAAGTGAAGTTGAATAACAAACCTTTCAGGCATCTCCTGCATTGTAGCAGGAATCAGAACATCTGTTAAAACCTGAGAAAATAAAGGGTTAATTAGTAAAACAAAGCACTACACTGCTGATCAACATAGGTATTACTGCGCCGGAGAGGAAAATGGGGTTTGTCCTTGTTCGTATTATTCATAAAGAAGTGTTAAACACAAGCAACAACACATCTACATAGATATAATCTGTTTTGTTTTTATTATTAAATCTGGGCAGAACCATGGATTACTACTTCAGCGTGTACATTATGCTGAATTTTTGCATCTCACATAAAGACAGTTTGAAAGTGGAGTTCAGACTTATAGATTAATGATCAACTGACAAATGATTTAATAGGAGCTTAAGTTAAAAACATCGCAGTCTGAGACACTTTTGGGCCTGCACACCTCCTTTTATTAAGCAGAAACAAAGCAGAAGCAGTGTTTGATGACAACCTTATAGAGGATGGAGTCACAGACACAGAAGATGTCGACTATGATCGGGTTTTCCAGCAGTGGCAGCAGGTGGTCGGGCATTCCCTGCCAGAAGTGAAGCAGAAAATTCTGGATCTGAAACAAAATATTTGAAGAGTTGTCTGAGTGGATGGTAAATGGTTCTCTTCGCTATACTCAGTAATAACAATAAAATGCTGTCAGGTGACAGTAATTATCACCTCCTGAAAGTTGACGTTAATGGCGTTGTCCAGGATGCACTGGCAGTGTGTTTTATACATCATGATCAGAGTGTCCACCTGCAGACATGAAGTCAATTCAAAAACAAATAATGCAGCTACAGCCACAACTCTCACACAGTAACATCAGGAGTGTTTATATGTTTGCGTTTGCCAAAGTTACGTTTCTAAAGCTCTGCTGTGCAACAATGCAGAAGCTTCTTGTTGTTTGTTCATAGTAAATATACAGCGTATCATGTGTCAAACTGAATGTGACAGCGATGTATCACCAACCTTATCTCTGGAGATGTTTCCCTGCAGGAGCAGATGCTGAGCATTGGGGAAGTCTGGGAGTAAAGTTCCAGTTTTAGAGCTCAGGGAATATTTCCTGGTGAAACCTCCCTGAAAACCACAACAGTATTAGACCCTCTTCATTTAGCTGATCCTTGTGCTACTGACTTTTTTTTGTTTTGTTGTTTTAGAGTTAAACCTTTGCTTTTACCTCATTCTTGAGTTTGCTCCCTGAAAATCTGTAATCAAAACAAAACAAATAGGATGTTTGACTTAATTTTGTTGAGAAGGGATTTGAATATAAGATATATTATGTTTGGACATTCATATCTGAAATGTATATGTAATGTGTGAAGAGTTTCATTACTAGAAAACATCAAATAACCATGTATAGTTCAAGCAACAGACAGAAAGCTTTGTTACCTGGTCAGACCTTTTCCAGAATATACAGAGTGATAGTAGGCGCTGCTCTCTTTGATGCCAATTCCATAGTAATGATACCTGTTAAGATAATAATATCCAGGAGTGATCATCAAGTGCAGCAATTAGCAACAAAATAAAATTTTGGTGCTCTAGGCTACACAACATGTTTTTTAAAAATTCAACATGTGAACGTGTGAGACGTTTACTTGGAGTGTCCTCTGGTGCCGAGTCTTCTCGTTGTCAGAAGAGGAAACTTCTGTCGGATCGTCTGATGAAAACGGGGAATGTAAAGTTCTGGTTAGGTCAACATGAGCTCTGTCTGACAGCCTCACATGATAATGTTGGAAGTCAGACGTCACATCATTGTCACTTAATCAGTATGAGCACCCTGACAATGTACATAACTGTAACTTTACTCTTGTTTTATCACACACCTTTCCAAAAGTAGCAGCGCAGGCCGGCTCCAGTTTCTCCTTCCTGCAGAAGTCCAGGTAGTGGGCGTAGAGGATACATCGAGGCAGACACACTCCCTCACACACTATGTAATTCTCCTCCAGCCTGTTGAGACACATCAGTGAGAAAATCATTCAAGCAATTATCAGAACATTATACAATCTGAAATGTCCTCTGAACACAGCACAAGAGTGAATTCTTTAACCACAAGAAAGACAAATCTGATGGACAGCACAAGAAAAAGTTCATATTTGTCACCATGACAACTGTCAAATGGGTAATTGAGGGGATATGCAAACCATTAACCCATATTTTTAACATGTCGTTTCGACTTGGGCAGTTCCCCAATAATATGAAAATACCAAAGGTTATTCCACTGTATAAATCTGGTGATAAGCACAACTTCACAAATTATAGACCGATTTCTCTGTTGTCACAATTTTCAAAAATTCTGGAAAAACTCTTTAATAACAGATTAGATACATTTATTGACAAACATAAAATCTTATCTGATTGCCAATACGGTTTTAGGTCGAACCGATCGACATCCTTGGCCATTACTGACCTGATTGAGGACATTACAAGTGCTATGGATGAGAAAAAATATACGATGGGGATATTTATTGACCTAAAAAAAGCATTTGATACAATTAATCATGAACTATTAATGGATAAGTTAGAGAAATATGGGATCAGAGGAATGGTT